CTCCTAATGGCTTGTAATAATGTATTAAGGCAGGACTTTGTATTACTTAATGGCTCATCAATAACAATCATGCTTCTTGAAAATAATTAAGAACTCCACTGTATTTAATGTAAGTTAGGTTTCATACTGTCCTTTATGTTATTGCTATGTTTTCAGAATTTGCTTCTTATCAGCACATTCCCATGACATTTCCGCTTGTAAAATACTTGACTCTTCCTTCCCTCGCCCCCTTTTGTATTTAGAAAGTTCACTTTAATTCTTCTTTCTGTATCCTAATTAAAAAGAAGGGGAGGGAAAAAAAAAAAGTTGTTACAGCATTAGTAAGAAAAGATTGTGAGGGCTATGTGTAATTTCTGGGCTTCCTGACAGCGCAGAGGGCCACATCTGACACAAATGTTTCTGATTTTTAAATCTTCTGTATTTTAACTATGCAAAACTATGTACCCATCTGTTCTCCCAGCCCAGGCCCCAAGTGAGGTGGGGCTGTCACCACTCTGCAGCCAGAGCAGGACTGTGGGAAAAGAGGGAAGGAAGAAGGGAAAAGTGTACACTGTGAAAAGAGGAGAACAGGCTGCCTTGCCTTGTCTTCGCCACCAGTCCTGCTGCAGCATCAAGCACAGATGAAGTTCTCTAGGGACAGACCCTGGCTTTTAATGAGGTCACACTGAGTGGGGGTTGTATGGGAAGAAGGATGTAATAACATGAAGGATTCAGAAGTACTGCCCTACTCATTGGTGTTGTAGGAGAGCTGCTGGTGGTAAAGTGGCTTTTTGATGTTATGTGGTGCCATTGCAAGGACAGAATAACCGCTGGGGTCACCAGAGACATCAGTGTTGCTGAGCTCTGTCTGTGTACTGGCTGTGCATCCTTGCTTATGGTCTGCACTACATGATTCACTTGTTCTCCCTGTGAACCTCCTGAGATGGGAAGGGATGGTCCATGACTTTGTGGGCACCTACTGTTGCAAAAAGGATGGATGTGGTGGGTGTTAGGCATGGAACAGTGGAGATGCAGTCAGGATTGCAGTGTTTCTGCAATGAAGGTGTCTCTGGGATCAGGGGAACAGTTTGTCTTAGTGTTTAGAGTGTAGGTTTTGTGTTCTTAGTGAAACTTTGTCATTATAATCCCCCAAAGGTGAAACCATGTGGAAGAGAAGATGGAGACAGCTTTTGTATCTTTGGCTGAGGCACTGTATATGTGATATACTTAGTACTTTTGTACTAGGGCTAAATGTTGAAGAAAATTTTGATTTGCACATGCCGTTTTAGTACTTCTTCCTCTTTCCATCTTGGATTTACTTAAATCCTAAGCAAAAATTTCAACTTTGAAACTAAAAATCTGTTTCTGCCTTGAAGGAGGAAGGTTAGGAAGGTTAATCAGGAGCTTCTCTTACTAGATTGTTCTTGCCTCCTTCTCACAGTTCCATGCCATCCTTCTGTGAGGTTTCTGATTCTTGCTTTTCTTCATTTATTATCTTTTTGCTCATAAAATACTGAGTATTACCTGACCAGAGGGGATTTGATTTGTTTTTTTCCACAACTGTGTTGCTTTTGCCTGCCAGTCCCACACCCTTTTCATTTGATTTAGATTCAGTCCTGTCCATACTTTGTGGCTGGGAAGTGGCAGTATTCGTGCTTGGTTGCTGAAAGGTGTGAAGTGCTAACTTGCTCGTTGCAGATGATGAAGAAAATAAAATCATGACCCTTTGTTGTATTTAAGGATGGTTTTAATGATGTGATCAGGAACCAAAGTGAAGAGGACCATAAGGCTTGATGTGGGTAGGGAAAATTGAAATTTCAGTAGGTTGGTATCTGGTATGATGGTGCTTGGTATGACCATTTCTTTTTGAAATTTGAAATTATTCTGTCATTGAGTGACTTCAAAGTAAAAAAAAGTGGAAAAAAGGAAAAGGAATGGAGTTATAACATTCGACTGCAGTAATACATCTTCTTGCAGTTAAAAATCACCAGTTATTTCACTGAAATAATCTGGAAACTGTTTCTCTTGCTGGCTTTACTAGAAAGTCAGCTGTTTCTCCGAAGTGTATCCTAATTCCCTGAATAGGTAATCAAACTCAAACAATATGTTTATCTAGTTTATTTGAAAAGATTAACATTTTCTTAATGATGGGTAAAGAATCACCCTGCCACATGTGCAATGGATGAACTGGCTCTGTCCTGGTTTCAACAGGTAAGGATAGTTGTTAAACTTGGGGGTATTGGTGTGAAAATATGAAATAGTTGGGCTCATTGTTTATTTAGTTTTTAGGATTTTGCAATGGTTACATAATTATTCTTGAATGTAATGCTTAACAAATTTCTTATCGGGTAAATTAACCAGTCCACCTCTTATTTCTTTACTTGATTTTGACTGATGGGACATTATAAGCTGAATGCAAGAGACAGAGTTAATACAGTGGATAGTAAACTATGTTCTTGATTATCAAGCTGTAACTGATAAAGACTGAGCTGGTAAGTAACTGAAAGGCTCAGCTGTTGAGCCCGAGTCAAAGAATTCAGAAGTTTGTGCAGGAGACCTAGAATTTCTTTTACTTAAAGTGGCAAAATTTTTTAGTTTGTGTGCTCTTCAGGAAAAATAATAAAGGAAAGGTCCTACAAGGTCCTACAGCTGGGTCGGAGCAATCCCAGGCACAGCTACAGGTTGGGCAGAGAAGAGATTCAGAGCAGCCCTGCGGAGAAGGACTTGGGATGTTGGTTGATGAGAAAATGAACATGAGCCGGCTTCAGTGTGTGCTCGCAGCCCAGAAAGCCAACCGTATCCTGGGGTGCATCAAAAGGAGCGTGACCAGCAGGTCGAAGGAGGTGATCCTGCCCCTCTACTCTGCTCTTGTGAGACCTCACCTGGAGTATTGTGTGCAGTTCTGGTGTCCTCAACATAAAAAAAAGACATGGAACTGTTGGAACAAGTCCAGAGGAGGGCCACGAGGATGATCAGGGGACTGGAGCACCTCCCGTATGAAGATAGGCTGAGAAAGTTGGGGCTGTTCAGCCTGGAGAAGAGAAGGCTGCGTGGAGACCTCATAGCAGCCTTCCAGTATCTGAAGGGGGCCCATAGGGATGCTGGGGATGGACTCTTCATCAGGGACTGTAGTGATAGGACACAAGGGGTAATGGGTTAAAATTTAAACAGGGAAGTTTAGGTTGGATATAAGGAGGAAATTCTTTCCTGTTAGGGTGGTGAGGCACTGGAATGGGTTGCCCAGGGAGGTTGTGAATGCTCCATCCCTGGCAGTGTTCAAGACCAGGTTGGGCAAAGCCTTGAGTGAGATAGTTTCATGTGAGGTGTTCCTGCCCATGGCAGGGGGCTTGGAACTAGATGATCTTCAGGTCCTTTCCAACCCTAACTGTTCTGTGATTCTGATTCTAAAATGCTCAAGACCCAGTTGGGTGGACATTTAACTTACCAGGTGTATTTGGACTAAACAAAAACTCATGAGTAATGAGGAAAAAAGAATTTGTCGACAAAGAATGATTTACAGCTCAAGATATGCAGGTCTAGAATTACAGTTGGAAAACATGGAAGTTGGAGCAAACAGTGAAGTGCTTTTCAGCTGTAAAAGTTAAAAGAGAGCAAGAAGAATGCAAGGGTGACTTCTGCAAGGTCCAGGTGGGATAAAGGGTAAAAAAGATTTGAGTATCGTCCAAAAGTAAAGTAGCAATTCATGAATGCAGATGAGGCACTTAAGGCAAGCCGGATACTGGTTCCCTCTTACAAGGTATTGAAACATAGCAGATCTTCTAGAAAATGTGCTTATTCTGTTAAAAATTTCCAGGAAGTTGGGAAAAGATGAAGCCATATTATTGGAGACTGTCACATTCTGGAAAAACACTGAAGAATATGGAAAAATAGCCAGGAGGACAAGAGTTCTGTTAACATGCCCTCAGCAGTGTATGCTGTTTAACTGGGGAGACTTTTCTAAGCCTGTTCTTTTGAGAAATTCTGCAAGTTGTGTTTCCTTGAGGGTTTTTTTCCTCTTGCTAAGATAATTTAGATTGCATCAAGTTTGTTGTGAGAAGCTGTAGGATTTATGAATCTGCATTTTGAGGTGAGAGCTTTAAACCATGAAATTCAGCATCCTGACACTGGCAGCAATTGCTGCTAGATGCATCAGAAGAAAGTGAAAAAAGATACTTAGCTGTCTTCTCATGACTCTTCTTTGGCATTTTTGATTGTGGAACTGTTATGCCGAATTCTGAATAACCCATATGCCCTTGAGAAAGTAATATAAACGGGAAGATAGATTTTTCTAGAGAGATTTGCACCACTTGCTTACATGAGAATGAAGCCTTAATAGTTTTTTAATGTTTTCCCCTTTCTTGCCCTCTTTTATGGGTTAATACTTTTATTATGTTTCACTTGACATTTGCTATAGCCTTTTGACGTATATTTGAAGGCAGTTTTGAGCAAAGACTCTCACAGTTGTAACAGAATTCAAAGCTTGCTAATAAATCAGTTGTCTGTTACCTGAGAGTTTGTCCTTGTAAAACTTAAAGCCAAAGAGCTGCTGAACCTAAACACTTGGCATAAGTAACACATTTCTTCTACAGTGTTGACTTTCAAATTTTTACCTGAATACTTTGCATAGTTCTTGAAAATATTTGTTGCACTTTAATAGGAATAACTCAGTATTTTCTTTTCGGTTTCCTTCTGCTCCTACTGCTAAAGTAAATTTTGCTGCTGATTGTTGAGTTCTTTGTTTTGAGACTGATCTTTGCACATTTGTGGAAAATCAGTTTGCCGTGTTCTGATTAAAAATTTGTTTCTAAAATACACATGACTCTCAACATTCAGGTTCTTTTCCTTTGTCTTTTATATGCTCTTGACCTGCTGCTTGCTTCAGTCTGGGCCTCATTTAATGAATACTCATTTTAGTGAAGTACTATATAAGAACAGTATCTTATCAGTACAGCTTAAATCCAGATAACGGTCTCCTCTGGTCTCAAAATATGTTTCTGACCAGTTTTTTGTTTTCTTTTCAGCCCAGTCACTGAAAGAGTTTGCTCGGCTTCTGATTGCTGTTGAAGAGGAGAGGAGACGACTGGTAAGTTTGCTTGCAATATTATGTTTCATTGGGCCTCTTTTTGTATAAAATAGCACATTTTATTCCTCCTGAAGTGCTTTTTTTTTTTTTTCCTATTTGTGTAGTAGGTGTTAAGTGTTTCATAAGAATCACTTGGAATTCTGCAAAGGCAGAAACGTGCTACCACAGACTGCGGCAATTTTTAATGAGGTTTTCAGCCAAATGGTTATTGCATTGATTTAAAAACTGCTTCTTCACTCCCCATCCCAAAATAACATTTGAGTGCTGCTGTACCTTTCCTTTCACCCATCATGGCCTGTTAGTCACAAGACACAGCAATAAAGTAAACCATAAACAAAGAGCTTGCAGTGGAAATGTCCATGTTTTTATTTAATGAAATACTCTTATTAGTGTCATTCAGTGAATGTATCCTAGAAATCTGAGAATATGATAAACAAGTGGTAACAGAAAGCATATTCATCACCCCTGAGAAATCTTGCAGAATACATTATAGATCAGACTTGTCAGATTTGTTCTTTATTATGGTATTACTCCCTTTGTTTCCATAAGGATGAATCTACAGGTGCAGCTTTGTTAACAAAATTATACGTGTATTCTTACACAGGTATTTTTAAAAAAATCTACATAAGCAATGAAACTAGTTTACTTTTTTCTTCCTTGGAATTCAATAATGAATGAAGAAGTTGAGGGAAGGATTAACCTTGGGAGGGGGATTTTTAAAAGTTGTGAAAGTTTAACTAGCTCTAATCCATCCAGTAATGACTGTATCTGTCCTGGATTTCCTTCATCTTATGGGTGCTTAGGGAGCTGAGGGGAAGGATTTTCTGACTCAGATTGAAGCAAACATTAATCCAGGAAGAGGCTGGTATGTGAAGTTCTCTTATTCCTAGGAGTAAATAACCATGGAATTGGTCTCCCTCTATTTCTATTTACGTATTTAATGTGGTAACTTCATAAATATTTATATGGTGCAGTTGCATAGTTAATATCACCTAAACCTATAAAAGTGAAAATCTTTTTGCTTCCTGCTAAACACTTTTTCCTGGTAGGTGGAGTGAGGTGACTGTTCAGTACCACCTTAAAGATGTTTAGTAGACAACTTAGTAATTACTTAGTTAAACAAGGTTTCAAACTAATAGCTTTCCAGTTTAGGTTAAAGGTTATTGTGAGCTAACTATTAGAAAAAGGAAAAACAATGGATAGGTGAATGTTTTATTTTTCAAACTGGTTAATCTGTCATAATATGTATGTGTAATTTCCTTTTCGTTTTTTTTTTTCCTCAGAGGAGTCATTCCCTTTTTTTACTCTTAGAAGTTTCTGGTCTCTCTGGTTTATAATTTGATCTTCCCATGTGACATTTTTACTTTGTATGTTGTAGGAAGGCCATTAGAGTAAAAGGGGGAAACCCCATGAATCTTACTAAGTGAAAAAAGACCATTCTCACTGTCCAGTGGTGAGTCCATCTTGGAGCCAGCTGGATCTGGCTCCAGCAGACACCGGGAAACTTCTAGCAGCTTCTCACAGAAGCCACTTCTGTAACCCCGTTACCAAAATCTTGCCAAGCAAAACCAATACACTGAGCTGTTGGATCCTAATGCAGGGTCAGAGTCTTGGGTGAGATTTCAGTCTCATGGAAAAATATTTTATGTATTATGTTAAGTTCAGCAGAATGCAACCATCAAATCATCATAAACAAAGTGGCAGATAGTATTCATGTGTGGCAAAGCCGCTCTTGATGGAAAGTTTTTTGCATCCAGCTTTTTACTAAGTTTGAAATAATTCCAGTCTGTTTACTCTTCAGGTTGAATGCTCATGCTGAGAGAATTGAGGACACACAGTTATCATAATAGTAACTTCTGAATAAGAAAAAATCAGCTAACTTAAGAATTTTGTGCTTTTGAAAAGTTTGATTTGCCTGTTGGTGGAATTTATTTAATTATTATTGGAATTAAGCTATTAAATATCACTTTTGTCAAAGATGCTTGGGTTTTGTTCTCCAGTTCTCTTACTGCAGTTTTCTGTGTGCCATTGTAGAAACCAGAGGTCTTTTTGAGGATCAGTATGCCACGCTATGTGCTGAACAGATTGCTAGTAATAAGAGTTTTCTGCTTGACAAACTCGTGATTTAACTGTGAAATCTTCAAAAGTTTTTTTGCTCATTTCTGAGGGAGTATGAAGCATTCTGCATACACTTTGATTTCTCTGCCGGCAGCACATTAAGCCAACCAGTTTATAGATTAGTGATGATTTTAGGAAAAGTTCTGAGCTGATAGGGAAGCTTGAGATGGGGCATTCAGGTCTTTAAGAATTTTATTTCTTTTGCTTCTGCATAAAAAGAGAACATTTGGAAAAGGTGTTGGTGTTTTGGCTTTGGTTTGGTTTGTTGTTTTGGTTGTTTGGTTTGTTTTGTTTTTTAATTCTTTTTGACATTTTGTGGAAGGCTTGGAGAAAAATACCTAGTTGAGACTGCTTATGGATAGGCTTCATCATACCATTTACAACTTACTTTTAATTCTTGAAGTGTGTAACAGTAAAAGGCAGTATTGTATCAGCCCATACTGTATTGAATGGCAGATGTTAATTTTAGTTACCAGCTAATGGTCTTATTTCCCTGCCTTGTTTTTTCTATTACTAATTTATGAACTTGTGTAGAAGTGTATGAATGAAATTTTAATGTGGAAAGTAAAGTATATATTAATATCACCAATTTATTTCTCATCTGATGCTTATTAAATTCTTCATAATTACCATTATTGTTTTGATGAACACAGAAATTGTTAGAGTGCTTGCCCACTGAATGCATAAATTATTTCTTTCCAAGGAAATAGTTTGAGAAGTGCTTAGCAAGTCTTCTGTTCTTGCATGAGGAATCAGAAGGAGCTCAGTTTTGTTTTCTTTAGAAGCAGCTAATGAAACAAGATGTTATGAACAGTATTACTGGAAAAAACACTGCAGTATAAGGTTAAATAGAACCGGGTTTCACATAAATGTTCTGTTGTCTAAAGCTTTGCAGCCATTATTATTGGCATCAGTAATAATATGGTGATTAATGTAAGTCAGTTTCTTTTATCCTGTCTTTTATTTCCTGATGCTAAAAAAATTTCTAGAAAAAATGAAGTCTGTGCACCAAACATTTACCCTTAAAATGCAAATAAAGGAGAAACATAAGACATAAGACATCTTTTTTATGATATACAGCCTCATGTTTGATATCTGTCATTTCATGGTGTTGGTAATTTGATGATGCTGTTGGTAAATGGTGCATTAAAGTGACTGAACTAAGCAGCTCTGATTTTTGGGTTTACAAGTAGCACAAACAGGATAAAAAGTCAGTTCATCCCCAGTGCCCTTCCAATGACTTTCAGGAACAAGCCACCAGGGAATGAAAAATAATGACCTCTATTTCTCGGTGATTATTAGGGAACAATAGAGATGCTATAATTTAATTTCATGTGAATATTTGGATCTATATCAAGGGAACTTACTTGAAAATATTTCCTTCCCTTCTTGCTGAATTGACATTGTTTCTGTTAAACCAGTGATATGCTTTTTTATTTAGAGATTCATGCATTATTTATGTTTCCTATTCATTTGATATCGTTAGTAACCTTCATAACAAACAGAAATGTGCTGGGAGTGATATAAAACACTAATTCCTTTTCCTTTCATAGGATTATGCTGTGTTGACGTAAGAATAGATGAATTGGTTCATGCTGCTGGTTTCCTCTTCCTTGAGATTCCCTATCAATTTGAAGCACTGAATGTGTTGTTTTGAGTGTACCTCCCTGATTAGTTTGAATGTTTACTAAATTCCAAACTGAATCAGGTGTCTTGACTCTTACATTCCTTGCTACTTACCCAAGTTTTTATGAGTTGCTGGCAAGTGATAAATGGTCTTAGGGCTTTTCTGTCTGGCATTGTCAGTCAGTGACATGTGTTTGGTTGCTTTGAATTCCTGATCAATATTAAATACTTTATATGATGGTACAAAACTTCTGAAGTGAATAGTTGTGTACTATGCTCAATGAATATTTTTCTTTTTAACATCTGTCCCTTTATATCTCATGATCTTCATGCTTCAGAGAGTATCTCATTGTTGTGGACTTCTTTTGTATTAGCTGGATGTTCTCTTTGTGATTTTTGTATTTGCCCTCACATAAGGGGTCTGATGCTATCTGCTTCCAGGGATAGCATCAAAATATTCAAGTTTCAAAAGCTGCACTTGAAGAAAAATAAATGAACTGTTAAAGCCAGCTATCCATGGAATGGTACATAAAATCAGATACCGAAGGACACAGCATGTTGTTGAGTAGAATTAACCTTTTCCCTATAATGTGAAGTGGGTTACAGATTCCATCTGAAGAATAAGCAGACTTTTATCCACAGGTGCTGCTTATTACTCGGTGTATAGAGGGGAGATATTATGAAGTCATTTACATTAGCACCCTCAAACTGCAGAGCTTGCAGATGGCATTTTGTTTCACGTAGGCTTTCTCTTAAAATGGCAAAAAAGTAATGTATAATGGTGGGTTTATATACTTGGTAACTGTTTTTGGTGCTTTTCACCTCTCATACCAGTTTTTTGCACTTAAATGAATCTGTTTGGTAGGAATCTGCCTGCCAGGAGACTCTGAAAGTATATTACTACAAGTGAGAGAGCACCACCACAAATAAGAGGGTTTCTTCTCTTTGTGATTAGGGTCAGCTTTTCATCGTTTTTTTTTTTGTTTTTGTTGGTTTAAATTAATTTAAAAGCACCTTAAAGTTGTTTTGGGGGTGTTGGGGTTTTTTTTCTTTACACTTAAGATGATATGCACATATCCTTCAGACCAATTAAGGAAGCGTGTATTGTATTGTTTAACTTCTTTGAAAAGACTTCCTGATTTTTTGCATCAAACTAATAATTTGGAAATACCTATTTGCTAAGTAAATGAGGTTTCTGTTGAACAAGGAACAGTCTTTAGTCAATGGAATTCCGAAAACTAAGAAAATACTGAGTT